GCTTTGTGTGAGCAATAAAGTTTTTTAATCACCTGGGTGCAGGCGGGCTGAGTCTGAAAAGAGAGTCAGCGAAGGGAGTTGAGAGTGGGGCCGTTTTATAGGATTTGGGTAGGTAAAGGAAAATTACAGTCAAAGGGGGGTTGTTCTCTGGCGGGCAGGAGTGGGGGTCACAAGGTGCTCAATGGGGGAGCTTTTTGAGCCAGGATGAGCCAGGAAAAGGACTTTCACAAAGTAATGTCATCCCTTAAGGCAAGGACTGGCCATTTTCACTTCTTTTGTGGTGGAATGTCATCATTCAGGGTGGGGCAGGGCATTTTCATCTCTTTTGCGATTCTTTAGTTACTTCAGGCCATCTGGGCGTATCCGTGCAAGTCACAGTGGATGCGATGGCTTGGCTTGGGCTGGGGCTCAGACGCCTGACAGTTGTACCATTTTACAACCCCACCAACAGTACGTAAGGGTTCCAGTATCTCCACATCCTTGCCAACACTTCTTATTTTCTTTTTTTGTTTTTGATACGAGCAATCTCAATAGGTATGAAGTGATAGGTTATTGTAGTTTTGATTTGCATTTCTCTAGTGATTTGTGATGTGAGCACCTTCATGGCTTGTTGACTATTGTATGTCATTTTTGGAGAACTATATATTCAGGTCCTTTGCTCATTTTTTAATTGGGTGGTTGTTGTTGAATTGTGAGAGTTTTAAAAAATATATTCTGGATATTAATTCCTTACCAGATACATGATTTGCAAATATTTTCTCCCATTCTGTAGGTTGCGTTTTTACTCTGTTGATTGTGCACTTTAATTTGCCAAAGTTTTTGAGTTTGCTGTACTCCTGTTTGTCTGTTTTTGATTTTGTTGCCTGTGCCTTTAGTGTCATGTTTAAATCATTGCCAAATCTAATGCCATGAAGCTTTTCTCCTCTGTTTTCTTCTAGGAGTTTTATAGTTTTGGGTCTTATATTTAGGTCTTTATTTAGAGTTAATTTTTGTATATGGTGTAAGAGTCCAACTTTATTCCTTTTCATGTGAATATCCAGTTTTCACAGTGTCTTGATGAAGAGAACCGTCCTATGCCCATTGAATAGTCTTAGTCTTGGTACTCATGTGGAAGATCATTTGACCATATATGTGAAAGTTTATTTCTGGACCCTCTATTCGGCCTGTGTATCTTTCTTCATGCCAGCACTACAATTTTTTTTTTTTGAGACAGAGTCACACTCTGTCACCCAGGCTGGAGCGCGGTGATGCAATCTTGGGTCACTGCAACCTCTGCCTCCCAGGTTCAAGCAGTACTCCTGCCTCAGCCTCCTGAGTAGCTGGGATTATGGACACACTACCACTCCCAGCTAATTTTTGTATTTTTAGTGGAGATGTGGTTTCACCATGTTGGTCAGGCTGGTTTCGAACTCTTGACCTCAAGTGATCTGCCCACCCTCAGCCTCCCAAAGTGATGGGATTACAGGTGTGAGCCACTGTGCCTGGCTAGATTAATGTAGCTTTGTAATATATTTTGAAATCAGTAAGAGTGAGATCAACAATTTTGTTCTTTTTCAAGATTGTTTTGGCTATGTATTAGTCTATTCTTGCAATGCTATAAAGGAATACTTGAGACTGGATAATTTGTAAAGAAAAGAGATTCAGTTGGTTCACAGTTCTGCAGGCTCTCCAGGAAGCACGATGCTGATGTCTACTCAGCTTATGGGGAGGTCTCAGGAAACTTATAATCATGGCAGAAGGTGAAGGGGAAGCAGGCTCATCTTACATGGCCAGAACAGGAGCAAGAGAGAGAGGGGAAGGTGCCACACACTTTTACATGACCAGATCTCATGAGAACTCACTATCAGGAGAACAGCACCAAGAGGGAAATCCACCTTCATACCAGTCACCTCCCACCAGGCCCCACCTCCAACATTGGGGGTTACAGTTTGACACGAGATTTGATGGGGACACAGATCTAAACCATTTCAGGCTTTTTGAGGTCCCTTGAGATTTGATATAAATTTTTGGATGGATTTTTCCATTTCTGCAAAAAATGCCATTGGGATTTTGATAGGGATTACATTGAATATGTAGGTAACTTTAGGTAGTATTACCGTTGTAACTGTATTAAAGTTTTTAATACATGAGTGCAGAATTCTTTTCATTTGTTCATGTCTTTAATTTTTTTTTAGCAATGCCTTCAGGTTCTTTCATTTGTTTTACATATGTACAATTTGACTATCCTTCATCTGAAATGCTTGGGACCAGAACTGTTTTGGATTTTGGATTTTTTCAGATTTTGGGGTATTTTCATTATACCAGTTAAACATTCCAAAGCTGAAAATCTGAAATCCAAAATGCTCCAGTGAGTATTTCTTTTTTCTTTTCGTCTTCTTTTTTTTTTTTTGAGGCGGAGTCTCTCTCTTGCCCTGGCTGGTGTGCAGTGGCGAGATCTCAGCTCACTGCAACCTCTGTCTCCTGGGTTTAAGAGAGTCTCTTGTCTCAGCCTCCCAAGTAGCTGGGATTCCAGGCACCTGCCACCACATCCAGCTAATTTTTCTATTTTTAGTAGAGATGGGGTTTCACCATGTTGGCCAGGCTGGTCTCAAAACTCCTGACTTCGGCCAGGCACGGTGGCTCATTCCTGTAATCCTAGCACTTTGGGAGGCCAAGGCGGGCGGATCACGAGGTCAGGAGATCAAGACCATCCTGGCTAACATGGTGAAACCCGGTCTCTACTAAAAAGCACAAAAAATTAGTTGGGCGTGGTGGCGGGTGCCTATAGTCCCAGCTACTCAGGAGGCTGAG